CTGGCTTCATCTGAGTATATAGGCTTAGAGTGGGGCTGATTTCCCCAAAGCAAGATTGGGGTGCTATTGTCAAAAGAAGAGGGAGCATGTATTAGTTTCCTATTGATGCCCCGCCTCCCCCCAAATTACCACAAACAAAGTGGTTTCACACAACACATTTTATTCTCTGACAGTTCTGGAGGCCGAAAGTCTAAAATGGGTCTTACGGGGCTAAAATCCAGGTGTTGGCAGGGGTGTGTTCCTTCAGGAGATTATAAGGGAGAATCCATTCCCTTGCCTTTTCCAGCTTCTAAAGGCTACCTACATTCCTTGGTTCATGGCCACCTCACTTCAACATCTGATTCGGTTGTTACATTTTGTCTCTGACTCTGACCCTCCTACCTGCCTTTTATAAAGACCCTTGTGATTACATCGGGCCTACCAGCATAATACAGGGCAATTTCCCCATTTTAAGACCCTTGCTTTAATCATATCTGCAAAGTTACTTTCACCATGTCAGGTAACAACATATTCAGGGATTAGGACATGGGCATCTTTGGGAGGGGGAGGCATTATTCTGCCTACCACAGAGCAGATGCTGGATGGCCAAAGCAAAAATGTTAATCATCTCTGCTTTGACTCCTACCACTCTGGCTACTCTTTTGTATCTTTTGCAGACTTATCCTTCTTTACTTGACTTTAACTATTTGCTTTCTCAAGTTTCAGCTCTAGACTTCTTCTATCCTCACTCTATACTCTTTGCCCAAGCAAGCTCATTGAGTCCAAAGCACAATTACCAACTATGATTACATATCCACATCTCCTGTCTAGACATCTCTGAGTCAAAACAAGGTTATTTAAATGCCTACTTGACATTTCCACTTAGCTATCTCAATGGCTTTCCAAATTCAAGATGTCCCAAACCTTCTCTCCCACCCCAGCCCTAACTCAGTAAATGGCACCACCATCCCTCCAGTTATGGGAGCTAGAAAACTAGACAATCATCCTTAATGTCTATTTTCTCCCTGCCCCCAATCCAATTCTTGACCCAGTCATTTCAATTTTACCTCCTTGATCTTAAATCTATCCATCCCTCTTCATCTATTCACCCTCCACTCCAAGCTACCACTTTGGTCTAAACTGTTAACTTTTCTTGCCTGGATTTATGCATTGGCTATCTAAACTGGCCTTTTAGGTCCATTCTAACCTACCTCCATTTTGTTCTTCATACCAGTTCTAGGTTATTTTTCCAAAACGCAAACCTGATCATGTAACTCACCCACTCATAACTCTTCACTGGCTTCTTGTTTTTCTTAAGAGAAATATAAAAATTCTTCCTGTGTGTGGTGTGTCTAAGACAGCGGTTCTCAACCTGTGGGTCGCTACCCCTTTGGGGGTCGAACGACCCTTTCACAGGGGTCGCCTAAGACCATCGGAAAACACATATATAATTACATATTATTTTTGTGATTAATCACTATGCTTAATGTTCAATTTGTAATAATGAAAATACATCCTGCATATCAGATATGTACATTACGATTCAAGGGGGTCGCGACCCACAGGTTGAGAACCGCTGCTTTACACCTTTCTACTTTCCAAAACTTGTACAAAGTTATTGCCCATTGCCAGACTCATAGAGATGAATCAAAATCTACTCTGTTAGAGGTCTAGGTCAGTGAATAAATTCCAATCCAGTATGGTTTTCTCCTCCATAAAATGGACATTATCCTCATTACACCAGTCCAAGTTTTTGGAGGCAAAACTGAAGCTGACTCTGGAATGGACTTTATTAGAAGGACATTGAGTAGAACCCAGCCTGAGGAAATAAGAGGGTAGGAAGCTAATGGAGCCAAATCCACACTCTAGGAACTAGCTGGTGAGGACAATGCCACTGGCACTGCCACTGCCCTCACTACTCCAGGTGTCCGTCTGTTTTCAAGACTGTCCCTTAAGGTTCGAAGACCAGGTGGGAGCATCCTATGAGCCAAACCTGGGTCACCTGGCCAGACTCCAGCTGCCTAGATGCAGGGAGAGGAGATAACTGCCCCCTTTCAGGCCAAAATGGGAGTTGGCATTCAAAACCCGACACTGTTGCCCTCATTTCCTTGTGTTTCTTGAGTGGCACCGGGGCCAAAGAACCTCTGGGTAGGTTATCTATCCATCAGGTTCCTGGAGAATGATCAGCTGCTGAGTGACTAGGCTGGAACTTGAATTTGGGTCTACATGGTGCAGTAGCAGTTAGGGTTCTTGGTATTGAGCAACGGACACCACCTCTGCCAATTTTCATTCAGCAAAAGAGAAGTTATTGGAAGGATGAGGGTGGGGCTCAAAGAATTAACGGGTAGCTGGAGAAGCAAGTTTGGAAACAGACAAGGACCAAGGAGAGATGGAGGGCTTAGCATCAGGTTGTAGGCACATTTTTGCCTGAATGCTGCCACCACCACTATAACGAATGACCTCCAACAAGATCTCCTATCTTGGCCACGTTATCTCAAAATTCAAATTCTCAGGAGAAGGCTTAGCTTTGATGAGATTAGCTTTCATCATAGCCCTGTCCTCCAGGGTAAGAAGGATGTGAGCCTTTAGTGGGATGGGACTTTTGGAGTTACTTTTCCGTCAAGGCCACAAATGACATTACAGTAGTCCCTCCTTATCTATGGGGGATGTGTTCCAAGACACCCAATGAATGCCTGAAACCTGAGATAGTACAAACTCTAAATAGGTATTGGTTTTTCCTTTACAAACATTCCTAAGGTTAAAGTTTAATTTAAAAAAATTAGGCACATTAAGAGATTAACAATAACTAATAATAAAATAGAACAATTATAATATGCTGTAACAATTTATATGAATGTGGCATTATTAAGTAAAATAAGGGTTTTTTGAGCACAAGCACTGCGATACCATAACAATCGATTTGAGAACTAAGATGGCTACTCAGTGACAAGGCTACTAAATGGGTGGGGAGCTTATAGAGCTGGATATGCTGGACAAATGGATGATTCATATCCTGGGCAGGAGGGAGTGGGATGGAGCGAGACTTCACCATACTACTCAGAATGGTGTGCAACTTCAAACCTGTGAATTGTTTATTTCTGGGATTTTCCATTTAATATTTTTAGACCATGGTTGACCCTGGGTAACTGAAACAGCAGAAAGTGAAACCACAGATGAGGGGGGATTACTGTAATATGGAAATGTCACTTATCTATTGTCCTAACAATGGTGCATAGCAAGCAATTACATGCTTTAGAAGCATGCGACAATAGGCTTATACATCTGGTGGTCAGCTAGGCAGCTCTGCTGCTGATCTGGGATGGATTTGCTCACGTGTCTGGAAGTTGGCTGGCTGTTAGCTGATCTAGTCTTACCTTCACTGAAAAGACTAGGGACTCCTCCATGAGGCTAGTTCTGGCATGTTTTTATGTGTAATGGCAGAGGCATGAGAGTGAGGGTAAACCCTATCATACAAGTGCTTTTTAAGTCTTGGCTTGCATCACGTTTGCTAATGTCCTATTGGCCATAGCAGAAAGTACTGCAGAATTTCGTGGCAAAGGGTTCGTATCTAGGGAAAAGTGAAGAATCGGTGCCATCTTTGCCATCCACTGGGGGAATGGTGCATGCCACTATAAGGAGCCAATGTTTATGACAGACATCCACGTCCAAGTTCTTTCCATGCTCCATAACACCTGGGGGCCAGCCAAAGGAGCATTTCTCCAGGATGGACTTCTGTCGTCATTCAATGGTATCACTAGAACGTCAGCTCCACAAGAGTAGGGAATTTTGTCGCTTTTGTTACCCTGTAACCCCACTGCCTTGAACAGTGCTTGACACATTACAGGGGCTTAACAAAGAGTGGTTGAATGGAAATTACCTTGTGAACTAACCAAAATTACTTTATGCATCCAACCAAGATTTTTCACTTTTGTGGGGAGATTGTATGTTACAGAGGAAAGGACTTAGATTTGAAGACAAACCAACCTGGGTTAGAATCTGGGCTTCACCATTTACTACTGGGTGACCTTGAGCAAATTATCCAGTCTTCCTGGGCCTCCGTTTCCTGTAGTGAGAACTTTTTGGGGGTGACTTCTTAGTGCAACCTCCCCATTTTCTGGTAATTGCCCTTCTAATCTTCCCATGTTCAATGTGATAGGGATTCTAGTATGATGTGATCTTGATCCTCTCCTCCAACCCTATCTCAAATGATTGGACGAGGGGTATGGATCTGACCCAAAATGGGCCAATAAGAGTCTATTCTCCATGAATTTGGAGTTCCAGTCTTAGTCTGGTTGACCTTTTAAATGGAGGAGATAGGAACTCAGGAGCTGGCTATGGCCACTATGCATCAGATAGAGCTGGTCTGCAGCAGAAGAGAAGAATAAAGCTCTCATTCAAGATTATTAGGCCTATCTACCTGTCAAACAGCCAGGTAGGTAGCTAGACAACCATCGGTGCAATGAGTAAGGTCAGAGTCTCTGATTCCAGACCACCTTGGTGACGCAGCCAGGGTCACACTTACTAGCTGTGTGACTTTGGCCGCAACATTTAACTTCCTGTGCCCTAGTTCTCATCCGTAAAGTGGGAATGATATTAATACTTACTTCATGAGATTGCCATAATGATAAATAAAAGTGCATAGAACAATATCTACCACATGGTGAGTCCTAAGTAAACACTACCAGTTATTATTTTCCGTTCCATGGATTCCAGAACACACCCTTTGCTCCCTAAAATGAATACCCCTTCCCCACCACACTCCCTTCAGTGGATTGTTTATTCCAATGCAAAGAATCTGAACTAATACCTTTCTTCGCCTATGAAGTAGGGAAAGTTAAGAATCATGAGGTCTTAGAGGGGTAGTGAGGATTAAATGAGATAAGCAAAACTCCTGACACACTGTGAGTACTCAGCGTTTGCCTGCTTCCCATCCTTCCTACCCTGCCTTCCTGAGACTCCAACTATGTTCACTCATCTTGGCCAGGATGGGACCAAATGAAAAACACGGTGCTTCTGGTGGGGACGGTCTTGCCCATAGCTTGGTTTGGCCCCTTTCTAAGACAGGTCTGATCTTTTCTGATAAGGTTGTTAGAACCACACACTTTGATACCCCATTCTGCAGTCAGAGGAGTGAATCATAGATCCTGAGGTGCCTTCCCCAAGGAAGACTTCATATCTGGATGCACTCTAGGTTCTCTCATTGCTGGGGACATGACTCAGGGCACAGCAGCCCTGGAGGGACTGGAGTGGGGCAAGAAGTGGTGGCAAAGAGCTAAATCCAATTCCCCTCATTTGTCCTCGGCTTGCACAATCCTTTCCCTGGTCCTTGGGAGCTACATAGAAAGGAAGGAAGGTGTATCGCTGGCTTAAGAGGACTGCAAATTCCTAACTGGGCAGGTCATAGTAAGTAGTCACGTCCCAGGCCTATAGCTTCCTTAGCAAAGGTCACTCTTTACCTTAAGTGAGCTCTGTCCTTATGCATCTAGGATAACATATTTTTGAAATGTCAGAGTAATTTGCTTGTCCTACTCCTCGAAGGCACAAAACCTAAGGCACCAGAGCACAAGACCCCTCATTGTTCTCTTATTCCCTAATACTATCTCTACGTGCTGTAAATTATAATTATTAACTATCCTGTACCCACCAATGTAAAAAGAAAGTAAGTTTTCCTCCATATTGCCTTTTAGCTAGTCCTAGATATTTCCCAGCTTTGCTTTCTCCTGCCTCTTTAAGCTACCAACAATGGATTTATTTCATGTACCTTCCTGAGGTCTTCTCCTTTGATCCTATTGTATAATTATAATAAGCCACAAAACTGCCATTCTCCTGAGTATCTGAGATCTTGCTCCCTGGCCTATGTCACCAGTTTGGCTCAAACAGACTCATACAAATTCTCTACAGGTTTGGGCATTTCTTATGTCGACACTTTCCTCTTAGTTGCACTAGTCAAGCATCTGCCAAGGCCACACCAAGTCCCCACCCCTCCTTGGATCCCAAACCTGGACCGCCTGACTTCCTGCACAGGATGTGCCACTAGAGCTATCCACCAAACATCCTCCCTGCCCAGCCCATCACTCCCAGTGCCTGAGTCAACTACAGTCATTATATTTTGAGTCTTTGTCAAAGAGCCAGCCTGGGGAAGGGGCACGAGGTTTAGAATCAGACACTCTGGGCTAGAATTCTGAGACCATTATCACTTCCTTGTGTGACCCTGAGCTGGTCACCTCCCCACTCAGAGTCTCAGTTTCCACACCTTTCAAAGAGGCTAGTAGTGATGGCGAACCTGTTGAGCTCGGCGTGTCAGCATTTTGAAAAACCCTAACTTAACTCTGGTGCCGTGTCACATATAGAAATTTTTTGATATTTGCAACCATAGTAAAACAAAGACTTATATTTTTGATATTTATTTTATATATTTAAATGCCATTTAACAAAGAAAAATCAACCAAAAAAATGAGTTCGCGTGTCACCTCTGACACGCGTGTCATAGGTTCGTCATCACTGGCTACGGTAATAATCCCCTTCCTTGGAGTTGGGAAGAGTTCATGAGATGACCTATCTATAGTCCCTCCCACATTGCTCCCTCTCCATACACCACTGTAGTTCTCTATCATCATTACTCCTAAACTATTTAAATAATCTCTTGCCCAGAAGCTTGTCATAAGCCTATTATCAGATCAAGATCTCAGCTTAGTGCTGGGGGGCGGGTCTGGGAGCAGGAAATGGCACTGGAACAGCCAGTCACACCCAATGGTGGAGTGTGTGACCCTGGAGGCAGATTGCTTGGGTTCAAATCCCAACTTGAACTCTACTGAGTTATGAACACACTACAGTATTTCCTGTAACCTCAGTTTCCCCATTTGGCTTATGAGAGGTAAAATAGCAGCATATGCCGCACAGAATTGTCTTGAGGATTAAAAAAAAAATAAACTGTTGGGTGTATAACATGGGATCTGCTACAGAGTACGCACTCAAAACACCTTTGCTATTTAGGCCATTTCCAAGTTTTTGCTACTTTATTTTTTTCGTCTTTATGTAATTTAATTAGGGTAATGCTCCAGGAGAGGAATTACTGCCCCCTAAAATATTTCACCAAATTGCTTTTAAAAGAATTGTGCCAGTTACCATGTCAACGAGCAAATTGTGTAAGTACTGGTTTTGTCATATCTTTGCTAGTACTGACCATTATAACTATTTTAAGTTCTTGTCTCTTTAACAGCAAAGGTAAACAGGGTATGCCAATAAGATTATTAGAACTGGGGAGGTATAGTTTCTTTGAAGAGGGAACTCAGAAAGAAAAAAACTACACACACTCGGTAAATATCTTGAAAATTGAGGATGTTGTTCTTCCTCTCAACTGCTGCTACTTCTCTTTTCTGAGACACCCCTTTCTATAGATCTTGTTTAGATCCGTTGGCTTTGACACTTGTAGATCTGGAATGTGGAAGTGCCCCAAAGTGATGACAATTTAACAGCTTGAGAGAAACTTTTTTTTTAAAAAAAATATATTTTATTGATTTTTTACAGAGAGGAAGGGAGAGAGATAGAGAGTTAGAAACATCGATGAGAGAGAAACATCGATCAGCTGCCTCCTGCACACCTCCTACTGGGGATGTGCCCGCAACCCAGGTACATGCCCTTGACCGGAATTGAACCTGGGACCCTTCAGTCCGAAGGCCGACGCTCTATCCACTGAGCCAAACCGGTTTTGGCTTGAGAGAAACTTTTGATGAAACTTCAGACAGATTTCTACGTCCTTTGAACATGGATTTTATCACGACAACTTTCTTTCTTTCTTATTATTTAAAATATGTTTTTATTGATTTCAGAGGGGAAGGAGAGGGAGAGAGAGAGATAGAAACATCAATGATGAGAGAGAATCATTGATTGGCTGCCTCTTGCATGCCCCACACTGGAGATGGAGCCCGAAACCCAGGCATGTGCCCCAATAGGGAATCGAACTGTGACCTCTTGGTTCATAGGTCAAAGCTCAACAACTGAGCCATGCTGGCTGGGCTATCACGACAGAGAGAAACATAAATTTCTCTGGAAAATAATTAAAGGAGACTAGACTCAGTTTCTCTGTCTGTAAAATGGGAAAGGTGGATTGGGATGAGGAAATCTCCAAAGGGCTCTGCATTCAAAAGGGACCAGCTTCATGGGTCCATAAAGACCTACAAGGACTTGATTGGCAAGACATTTCTTAGGAAGCCAAAACCAAACACTGTGATTCTCAATGCCCTGATTGTTCATCCCAGGAACCTACAGGATGACAGAGAGTTAAGAATTCAGCCCTGACCGGCTTGGCTCAATGGATAGAGTGACGGCCTGCGGACTGAAGGGTGCCAGGTTCGATTCCGGTCAAGGGCATGTACCTTGGTTGCGGGCAGCTCATAGATGTTTCTAACTCTCTAGTCCTCTCCCTTCCTCTCTGTAAAAAATCAATAAAATATATATATTTTAAAAAAAAAGAATTCAGGAAAAGTGAATTGGAGCCCGAGTAGACCAGTAGCCATAGAGTCACCGTCCCCGATCCTCAATCGTAACCTTAGAGATACTGGGAGGGACTCTGGGTTTCCCACTCCCCAAGATCTGGGAGTTCAAGAGAGTTTTATTAAACTTTCTCCATCTTAGCAGCCCCTTGCTTTTTCCCCTTTGTTGAAATTATATTTGCATTATTTATATTCTTCTTTGGCGTTTTTACTTGATTTTTAATATTTTTTTTATTTTGATGGACTTTGGAGAGAGAGATGTTGTGGACCAACATTCGCGAGAGTAAGACCACCAACTCCAATGAGGTCTTAAGCAGTAAGTGAGGATTTATTGAAAGCTGGCCAGCGACTGCCGTTGGCGTTTTCTCCTACGACAGCGTCGAACCTGGTTCTAGGCCAGCTTTTTATACCCAGAAACTACAAAACGGTTGGCTAAACACACACAAAGTTACCTGGGATACAGACACAAAGTTACCAGGGCTACATTAATTAATACTGCCCCGTTACCAAGGTATTATTAATCAACTTTGCCCCGTTGCTCCAGCTACTAAGATAAACTTGCCCCGTACCCTAGCCTACCCTCGACTATAGTTGGTTCCATTTCCCCAGTAACTGCCAACATACCTGAGAGGGACATTCAGAGGTTAAGAGATTTTACAAGGGGGGCTTAACTGTAACAGAGAGAGAAAGAGAGAGAGAGAAACAGAGAGAGAGAGAGAGAGAGAGAGAGAGAGAGAAACATCGATTTGTTGTTCCACTTATTTTTGCATTCCTTGGTTGATTCTTGTATGTGCCTGACTGGGGATCGAACCTGCAACCTTGACATATCAGGTTGATGCTCTAATCCACTGAGCTGCCCGGCCAGGGCTCGTATTTTCACTTGTTACTGTCTGTCTCCTTCACTAGACTATAAACTCTGTGAAGGCAGGGCATACATCTGTCTCATTCATTGTTGTATCACCAGTTTCTGGAAGATGCTAAATGTTCAAGAAATATTACTGGGTTAAAGGTGACCCTAGTGGGCTAGAGATGTGAGGATCACCCAGGCTGCCAATCCTTTGTTTACATACATTCATTTTTCTTTATAAAAACGGTCCTGTAAAATACGAAATTGGTAGAGATGGGATTTGAAAAAGGCAGACTGACTCCAGAATCCATGTGCTTAATTAACCATGAGGCTTTGCGGCGGTGCAAAGGAGGACTGTGCAACCATTAAATCCAGGTGGCAGAAGAATATGTATTGATGTGGGAAAATATTCACAATACGTCAGTGAGTTGAGTCCATCAGGCTTCAACAGGCAGCATTTAGCGCCCAGGGTTATTGGAAGAATTAAATGACTCAATGTGTGAAAAGTACATAGAGTCCAGCCCATGCAAAGTTCTTGGTATGTGTTGCCAAAACAGTTGCTGAACCATATCTCATCGTCAGGATTTCTTAGGGACGAATCAGCCCCTGGGCCATAGTGTGGGAAGACACCCTGTCATTGAAGCCCTGCCTCCGCGGGCTTGAAATAATGTAGGGTACACCTCTCCACCTCTCTCCTTTCCCATCCTGGGGGATGGGAACACGGTACAGACAACAGCTCTCTCCAAAGATATCTCTTCATCAAATCCTCTCCTCTCTCCATATTTGATCTGGTCCAGAGGTCCAAGAGTGGTGAAACCGGTTCTACACTTTTCCTTTGTAACTTCTGCATAGGAGAAGACCTAATAGTCACTTTGGGACAAGATATCCCTAAGTTGACATTCTTTAGAAACAGAAGCAGGGAAAGGCCCCATTGCAACCTCCTGTTACGCAACTGAGCTTACTGCAAACAAATGATTGCTGACCAAGGCACAAGTCCTAATAACTTGTGCTTGGATGGGGTGTTCCTCCTGAAGTGGGTAGGAGTAAGAGGAACCAGAGCGGAGAGTCTAAGTCAAAATCCCCCAAGTTCAAAGGCCTGAAACGGGGTAGAAAAAGGAAGACAGAGTTAAGGGCCAGGACCAGGGCCCCAGAGCTGAACTTCAATTGAAGAGAAAGTTGAATTCGGAGTGAGGTGATGCCCTGGGCAATGGCCCACTCCTGCTTTTCACAATTGGTTTTTGAACTCCATAGCCTGTGATGAGCAGTTGGCTTAAAGGGGTAAGGCCAGGCATGGCGTTCCTGGCCTTTGGTGGAATCATTTTTGGAGTGGGCTTATGGAGCCAGAAGACTTGACTCTTGGTATCAGCTACCAATGTCATTGTCCAAAATGGTACCAATTAGCCCTGCCGTTAGCCATGTGTGAACATAGCTGAGAGTATGAAGGTGCAGAGTTACAGGCAAAGGAGTGCCCAGGATGTCCCAGGCAGCTTTGCGACTTTAAGGGGAGAAAGGGTTGCAGGGGGAGAGCTGACAAGGCACTCATCCAGCAGGCCTGTGTTCCAGACAGTCCTTTGGCTTCGCTGTAGTTGGATTTCTTATTTTTTAAATATTTTTTATTGACTTTAGAGAGAGGAAGGGAGAGAGATAGAAAGATAGAAAGATCGACGAGAAAGAAACTTGATTGGCTGCCTCCTGCACGCCCCTTACTGGGGATGGAGCCTGCCACCCGGGCATGTGCCCTGACCAGGAATCTAACTGTGACCTCTGAGCCACACTGGTTGGGCTGATTCCCACGTCTTGATTATCCTTAGTTCCTGGTCTGTGTCCTTTACAGGTTAGACTTTTCCTAATCCCCCCCTCTTGCCCATTACCTGGTGGTCAGTTCTGCATAAGGAAAGGGTCACTGGTCCTTGCCCGTCTTTGCCTTTTCACCCTGGGCTGGCTCCCCTGAGCTCCTGAGCCCATTCCGAAAGGCTTGCTGGACTCTACTTAAAGGTGCTGTCTGGCCAGGGCATTCCTACCTTCATCTATTCTCTTACCTCTTGGTGAGATAGGATAGCAGAATGGTTAAAAGGACAGGACCTGGAGTGAGAGTGCTTGCGTTCAAATGCTGACTCCCCCTGCTATGAGCTGAGTAATTCAGGGCAAGCTGCTTAACCTCCCTGGGTCTCAGTTTTCTCTTGTGTAAAATGGGAATGAGAGTAATAATGCCTAACTCATAGGGCTGTGGAGAGGATTAAACTGAGTTCATGCATGTAAAGGCATGGATATTAAATTCATTGCAATGAATGAAAGGGACAGTCCTGTACAACAAAGAGTCATCATCTCACCCCAAATCACTAGTGTATGGAGCCTGAATGTCTGGGAGGAGTCACAGATCTACCACATACTAGTTTTGTGACTTTAGACTCACCCTTTCTGTGCCTCAGTTTTCTCATCTGTAAAATAGGAGCAATGATATGAACTGTAAAATAAGAACAATGATAGCCTACCTCATAGGGTTGCCCTGAGGCTTAAATGAGTTAATATATACATTTCATTTTATAAAATATTTTTTATTTACATATGTTAAATGTTTTAACTATTTTATTTTTTTAAAATATATTTTATTGATTTTTTTACAGAGAAGAAGGGAGAGGGATAGAGAGTTAGAAACATCAATGAGAGAGAAACATCGATCAGCTGCCTCCTGCACACCCCCTACTGGGGATGTGCCCGCAACCAAGGTACACGCCCTTGACCGGAATCGAACCCGGAACCCTTCTATCCACTGAGCCAAACTGGTCAGGGCTGTTTTAACTATTTTAAATATATCTTAGGACCAGGCCTGGCACATAATAAGCTACAGGCATTACTGGAGGTGGTATCTGATGTATCATAAGCATTTCCCCCCACATCACAAAATCAACCCTCTTTGATTGCTTCCTTCGAAAGTTTTCCAGAGAAAAGTTTCCCTCAGGAGGTTGACGTTTCCTATATGTGTTACTCATAAGAGTAATTAGAGAGAACATTTCCCATGACATAGGGAAAATGAAAGTGGTCACGTAGAGAGTGGGGAATTAGACCAGCCTGAAGAGCTAAGGTTCTGGGTCAGTGCAAATAAATTCTTTCTCACACACTAGCCTAAGCAATACATACATTTTGGGGGAGGGATCAGGGGGAAGTCTGGATGAACTCAGGGGCAGGAAATAGGTTTCATGAGGAACTAGAACCAGGAACTGGAAACTTCAAAACAGATCCAAATTTCCACTCATCCTCCCCACTCCCTTCCTAGTCCTAGTCGCCACCCTAATCCTGGCCATCATCACCTCTTGCCTGGACTGTTGTGATATTCTCCTCTTCTCTCCTTGTCCCATCACAACCCATTCGTCACCGTCAGAGTGACCTTTTAAAAATGTGGTAAGATTGTGTTGTTTTCCGGCACAAAACCTTTTAGTGGTTTCCCATTATACCCGAGAGCAGGAATTTGTCCCTCTTGTTCACTGCTGTATCCCTGGGCATGACGCATAGTAGGTACACAATAGCTTTGGTGAATGACTGAATGGATCTGCACCAGGATTCAAAGCAGAACCCCTTTCTCCTGCTCTCTCTGAGGCTACGGGCTTCCTTGCCATTCTCTGTGAGTCTGTTCCACGGCTCCTCTCTGGCTTCTCGGCACCTCCATTCACATGGTGCAAATGGCTGCCCAGGCCCGAGCTGTAACCTCCAGCTCCAGCGCCACCTGCTAACGCAGCTCGGATACCTAATTCCAAATTTCTAGGAAAGAGAAGTTGCCTGGTCCAGCTTGGGTGAGGGGTCCACCCGGTCCATTCAGTTATGGCTGGGGACTGTTGAAGCCCATTCCTGTGGGAAAAGCATTTTCAGAGAAGAGGATCATGGCTGGCAGGACACCCCCAAATTGTTTACTCCCTCCAGGGCAGGGCTCAGTGTGGGAATCCTCAGTTCTCAGGGAGTCCAGTAGTAGGCTTGGGTGGGCACTTACACTGTGTCAAGAAGATCCCAAATAGAATCTAAGATATGAAATAGATGTAATAAGTGAGCCGCTCTTTCCTCTTATACTGAGGAAAATGAGGTTCAGAGAGATAAAGTGAAAATGGAAAAGTACCAAGGGCACCTGGCGACAAAGTAGCAAAGCCTTGAGTGCAACTGCTCTACACCCTTTAGGCCAAACTTCCTCACCACCTAACCCACTAGAACTTAAAAAAAACAACAACAGCCTTATTTGGGATATAATTCACATGCCGTACGATTTACCTATTTAAAGGTTTCTAGTACAGTCACAGATATGTACAACCATCCGTCAATTTGGCCACTCTAATTTTACGGATAACTCCATCCCAAAGAGGGAAAGTGATTAGCCAATGGTCACACAGAGAGTAGATGGCAGAACGCAGGCCACTGTCCCAGCCACTGTGAGAACGCTTCTGGAAACCCCCGAGTGAATAACTGTCAGAAACATGATGGCTTGTCGTGGTGCAATAGCATGGAACAGAGCTGGAAGGAAACAGGACAAGAAAGTCCCCACCGCATGGTGACTGTCCAAAGCAAAACTCTGTTTTCTGTGGCCTTTCCTGCCCACACAGACAACTAACTGCTTTTCTTGCTTCTATACTCCTTTGACAATTACAATCCTGTAAGCCCCAGTTCAAATATCTCCTCCTCCAGAAAGCCTTCCCTGATTCATACTGTCAGGTTGGGCTAAGTGCTCTGGCTGTAGTGCCTGCTGGACATCTGTGTCTATCACAATAGTATAGCTCCTCTCTGTCTTGGCCCCTCTGCCTGTTCTCAGTCCCCCCAGTGATAGGTGCATGGACTTTGGAACTACAAAGGTATGGATTTAAATCCAGGCTCTGTCATGTCTTTGCTCTGTGACCTTGGCAAAGCACAAATTAGGCCTTCCAAAATTTCCTGTCCCTCCTTCCTCTGGCATGGTTCTAAGAACGTGCCAATTAAGCCTCAGTTTGCATTAGAATCCTGGTGACCTAGTGTCCTATAGCCTTCTGGGATGCAGCAGACACATTTTAGTTACCCAGCCTGTTTTCTTATGGGAAACTAGAGGCCTGGTGCATGAAATTTGTGCAGGGACGGAGAGGGGTAGTTCCCCAGTCCAGCCTGTAACGATGCAAGCGTTCCATGCCCGACCTAGTCAGAGGCCCTCCGCAGCTGGGCGCAGAACGCTTGCCTCGTTGCTGGGGCAACAAAGCAAGCATTCTGCCAGGCCACTCACGCTGCCCGCTCTCAGCAGCCACCCCCTGGGACTGGGGGACTCTGGCGGGGCTGAGAGGACTGGCCACTACCATCTTTGTG